TCTCTCTCTCTCTCTCTCTCTCTCTCTCTCTCTCTCTCTCTCTCTCCCTACCTGCCTATCTATTTATCTATCTCTATCTTTCTTTCTCTCTCTCTCTTTCTCTCTCTCTCTCTCTCTCTCTCTCTCTCTCTCTCTCTCTCTCTCTCCCTACCTACCTATCTATTTATCTCTCTCTCTCTCTCTCTCTCTCTCCCCCTACCTACCTATCTATTTATCTATCTCTATCTTTCTCTTTCTCTCTCTCTCTCTCTCTCTCTCTCTCTCTCCCTACCTATCTATTTATCTATCTCTATCTTTCTCTATCTCTCTCTCGTCGTGGCCGTAACGCACGTGTAACGCGACGCCCTCGTAGTTCTCTTTCGCAAAAATAAGTGCGCGTTATCGAGCGTGGGGTGCGGAGCGATTGAATGAGGGATTACGATCGTTTATTCATGGCCAACATCGCTTACGCCTTCGGGAATGCTCGAGCAGACTCGCATCTGCGCCCGCACCGCGTTTCTTGCGCCTTCCGCGTTTCTCTCGCGTGCTCTCAACGAAAAAGCGCACGACGTCTCTACGTGATGTTAACGCGTGACGTATAATGAGCTGACGTATTATTCCGAGTTTAATAACATCCCGTTGCGCCGGTAATCGAGGGGAAACAAGCGCGTACAACTCACGAAGTATTCCGTCATAACGCGCGTAAACGGGAAACACGATTCACGGCTATAATTATAAGCGCAAGAATAAGAGGTAAATTAAAAAGTTCATTGCGAGAGATTTGACACGGTGGTGGGCGCTACGCAAAACTACGCGGATACGACCAGAAAGATTTTCATGATTGTCACGATGCGAGACAATCAATGATGAAAACTCTACTATTTTTTTTGTCGCACGTGGGAGGCAAATATACTCTATGGAATATAAATGGTGGAGGCAAATATACTATGGAATTAATCATACAATGATGTAAATTTCTTTTTATCCTGATATGCAATATCTGCAATAAATTTATTAAAAGTTACACTGAGACCTTTATGACGTTTGCATACTTTATGACGTTTTATTTTGAGGAAATTACGATAATTATTTTCTCATATTTCTTTTGTATTTTCACATTTCGCCATTTTATATGCGATAAATACGAGTGCCATGAATCGCTCGTAAATATACGTAAATATAACAGCTGCATTATTAAAAAGCTATAAATGCTTGCAAACACGCTCAGATAAACTTTCATGATTGTCACGACGTGAGACAATCAATGATGAAAACTTTATAACATTTTTAATTACATTTATGTGCAGCGCAACTATACCGTATTGAATTAATCATTCAATTTATATCGTGCAAAGATGTAAATGTTTTGTTATATTAATAGCGACAGATTTACTTAAAAGTTATTCTCAGATTTTCACGTTACACTTTTTATGACATTTTTTTGTTTTGATTGTCACAATTTTTCTTGTATTTCTGTTTCGTCGTGATAAATATGAGTGCCGTATGAACCACTCACAAGGGATACTATGCTTTGCACATCGCGCGCGACTAATAAAGTTGTCGAATTTACATGCATCTGTCTATCCGGGCGCTTGCGCTCGTCCGTACGTGTATTGGTATTGCGAGCTGTCACAAATTCTCCACTAATATATGAATTCTGCGCTGCTTCGCGGCCATTAACTAACGGTAATGATCCGGCCGAAATAGAACGAGCGCATCTACTTTGTCGAGCGACAAACTGTAATGGCGATGCAAGCCGAGTCATTTAATATAGCGTATAATTCAGACGAAATCGGGACCCTGAAACCTGTTACCGCGTCTGGTTAAAGCAGCCGTGAAAACGGATTTACGAGCAGCTATAATAGCCGTTGCCAAGTTTTCGGTTGTGTTGGGATGATGTTCGAATCACCGGCTGGGCCGCACTAATGAGTAATTAGACTACCGAGAGAAATGCGTTCAATTTTAAGACTTCGCCGCCGTAGCCGTGTTAAGATAATGGGCTTTGCCACAGGCTCCGTCAAACTACCTCCTCCTGTTATGAATAACAATGTAACTTGTGTGGAGAAGACTCGAGGAGGATGCCGCGGTGCGGCTCTAAATGGAAGACCTCGGCAACGAGCTGTAAACGGCGCATCGCGGATCGCGAATTTAATTGCGGGCGAAACATACGCATAAACGTCCAGATCCATCTGTCACCGTGTCTGCTTCTCATTGTAAGAACTCGTCTGGAGCAAGCAGTCTAATGCCGTTAATTCGCAAAACGAATCCAGCGCGCGTTTAACGCGCGGCTCGTTTCGTGACAAATATACCCCCTTTGCGCCACGACTCGCGTCCTTTTCTTTCGCACACAGATGTGTGTGCACCTTGAGGTCTCATCAAGGGTTACAATGTAGCAGCAATATCAGCGTGAACACATCGGGCCGCTGCGGTAGACGCATAGTCACGAATGAAGGAGATAGAGAGGAAGACAGAGAGGAAGGATAAGATGTAGGTGAGAGAGGCAAAGAGGTAGGGAGGAGGCGAAGAGCGAGAGCGAAAGCGAGAGAGGGAGAGGGTGAGCGAGAGGGTGGCGGGAGGGAGAGGAGAGGATACGAAGTGAACGTGCGCGGTGAAGGAAGCGAGAGAGAGAGAGAGACTACTACTACTACTACTGGTACGGTGAGTGAAAATAGAATAAGAGGAGAGCAGGTAACGGGAGGACGAGAGTCGGTGAGGGGCAGCAGGGGGAGGAGTTTCCTCCTTTTCAACCCCCGTGTTACCGCGTACCGCGCAGAGCGGCGCGTAGGTATACGTACACACTAGGCGTCTATATTTTATATCCGGTATACCCGAGTTGTCGCTAGGGCGCAGACTCGAGCCAATCGGGGTCGGCTGGCTCGCCAGTTACTTTTCGCGATCCACCGTGGCCGCTCTTCCGCGCGACGCAGGTAGACAGAAGGACGACAGTCAGTCAGTCAGTCGGTCGGTGAAACGCGAGGCAAGGACGGCAGGGCGTAGGGGAATCGGTGGGAGAGCAACGGCAGAAGGTAGTCAGCGGAAGAGGCAAAACGCAGCGAAAAGGGGTAAAAACGTTGGCACATAAAGAGAGGGAAAAAGCGGAAGGGTGGAAAAGCGTACGAAAAGCGCAGAGAGTCAAGTAGAAATAGTCAGAGGGAAAGAGAGAAAAAGAGAGAGAGAGAGGGAGTGGAAGAGAGACGAAGGGGAAGGAAGAGAGAGAGACAGAGAGAGAGAGAGAGAGAGAGAGATCATAGGTGCTGTCCTCGTAGCGGAGTCCGCATTTGCCGCACAAAAGCACAACTTGCGCACTGTTGCGCCGCGTTACCAAGCTACTGCGCGAGCAACCGAACTGTGCCGCTCGGTCACCCCTCGGTCACCCCTCGGTCATCCTGCTGGCAGTCGAGTGCTTTCGTGCGGAGTGTTTACGTCGTTGCGCGGGTAAACACACACGTTGTCGCGGCTCGCTCTCAGGTTACTCTACTGTGTGTTCCACGCATTCCTACCCCTTTCTCATTCAATCGGCGTGGATCAGCTGGAGCGCATTCCGAATTCTCTCTCTCTCTCTCTCTCTCTCTCTCTCTTTCTCTCTCTCCCTTAAACCTTGGCGCGACTCCCCTCGTCGCCGGCGGTCCTTCGCGTCCTGCGGATGTGAGGAAGCGTCTCCCGGAGCTGAAGGCGATCGCCGCTCGTCGCCGTCGCCGTCCTCGAGTGCGCCGAGTGCCATGCTCCCGCGGCACGACACAGACCGTACGATGTTCAATTTGAATCGCTGAACACTGCGGCTGAGTGCGTTCGCCCTCGGATTACAGAGAGACAGCGGACCGATGCTCGGCCGTGTCGTCTCTCGTGACACCGTCGCGTCGTAGTTCCTGAATTCGACATCGATTCGTCTCGAGAGTTCGTGAGTTTCGCGTTACGGATTTTATCGCGTCGCCCCGGCAGTGTGTGTGCGCGCGCTCGCTCGCTCGCGAGGAATTGGTAGATTAGAATCGCTGGCTCGGGGGATCCGCTAAATCGACGGGGTGGAGAAGTGGCGGCACCGTGACAGTGCAGTAGACTGCGACGAGGGTTGCAACGATACGTGACTGACTTAACCCTGAGCGCGCCTGTTCGTACGTACGCTCCGGCTGGAACTCTACGTGAGTCAAACCGCGCGAGAGAACCACCACCCTCAGAGGACGAGAGACACTGCGAGAGAGAGAGAGAGAGAGAGAGAGGGGGAAAGAGAGAAAGAGAGAGGCTGAGGAGGACACTTGATCCCGTTATCGTTCGCGCTGGACGTCCACTGCATCATCGCGAAGCAGTACGTGTGCGAGTCGTAGTTGTCGTTTGCGCTTGGTGCACAATCGCCCGGCAAAGTGACTACTCCGAAGTGCAGCGGCGATAAGAAGATACAGCCGCGCGACTTGATCGTTAGCATAAATGACAAGTGGAGCCAAGGCATCGAACTGAGGTGAGTCTGCCATCGATTCCCGCGTCACGCTCAGAATCTCGCGTTTTCGCGCGGCCGGCCGCGAACGAGCGAGCGAGAGAGCGTGCGACCGGTCGAGGCTCGTCGATTATCTTCACGACCGAGTCTAAAATTGGACTGGAATACCTCGGCTGCCATGTAGGATTTAATTAGAGGGAATAGGTCGACACGGCCGCATTAATCGTGCGAATTCGGGCAAATGAAATTATAATCGAACGGCGGACTGGGTCTCGAATTACGCGCGTCGGAGATAGAACCTGAGGCGTTCGTGCTCGGCGCTCCCCTCTGGAGACCTTTCCAGGAGCAGCGGCCTCGCACCGCTCCCGAATACTACGCGATGAACATTCAAGGAAACTCGAAGGCTACTTTTCGTACTTTGAAATCCAATTCTCGTTGGACGTGTATGCATTACGCGGAGCTATGCGGCCGCGGGCCAGCGCGCGCGATACGCGCTCACATTATAATACGCAGCGGGTTTTCGGACTTATGAGTGCATCCATCTTTCAGCGTATTTATCTTTGTTGTGGTCGTCGGGCTGAATAAACGGTATTTGGCATTAATATCGGTCAGCAGCGCAGTGGCTGCGCGGCGCACGTGAATTTTTCGTCCGAGCGTTGTTGCGAGATTTCGTTGCAAAATTAATTAATCGGCCGTGTAGCAACTAATAACAACGTTTCTGTTATAATAATCAGTAAGTCAATTACATAACTCCAGTACATAACTAGTGGCGTGTTCCTTTCCTCTCTCTACCTCCCCTCTCTCTCTCTCTCTCTCTCTCTTTCTTCCTTCTTTTTTTCCTCTTACCCGTCTCAGCGCGCGATCAAAGAAGTTTTAATAAAACTTTTTACGTCTTTGTTCAAACATGTTTGCGCGAACGATATTACTCTATGAATTGTTTCTCAAGCCAAGTAAAAGTGCGAAGCGAGGAATAAGGATTTATTTCGTCTACAAAGTGATTCTCTCTTCGATTTGTCGTCGGGTGATTGCCGATGTTTAGATGGACTTTCATGATCACCATGACGGGAGACAATTGATGATAGAGACTCTATAATGTTCTCAATTACATTTACTAAGCAAATGTTTTGAATCAATAGTTAAATTTATATCATCCAACAATGCGTTTGTATCATCTTTGTATACTTTACAACGATGTAAAATTTTATTAAATTTGTACCATCACGTATCAGTATATAATTTACAATGATGTAAATTAATCAATTTGTATACAGTATATTTGTATCAATTGTATATTGATACAGTGAATTTGTATCACACTTTCTATAACATACCATGATTTATATCGGATAATTTGATGAAGTTTCAACGTTGATATAATTCTTTTTATTATACCGATGCAGCAATAAATTTATTAAAAGTCACACTCAGATCTTCATATTACATTTAACATGACATTGTTTGTGGCAAATTATGATCATTTTTTTCATACTTTCTCGTATTTCTATTTCGTTATTCTATGTGATAAAAATATCAGTATGATCAGTCGCGAGGAAGTCGACGTTGCCGAATTTCGTTACTTAACGTACTTAAAGTTACAGTAAAGTTTACATACTACATTACCTTAATAGAGTATGAAGCATCAACAAATTTATTAAAAGTCACACTCAGATTTTTATATTATACTTTACATGACGTATTGTTTTCAGCAAATTTCGATCACTCTATTTCTTCCGTATTTTTATTAAATACTTTTATGATCATTACGACGTGAAACAATCGATGATAGAAACTCTATAATCAACTCGATTATTGTATATTTATGAGGCAAATGTATCGTACTAAATTAATCATCAACTTTACATCATTAAATGATGTAAATCTTTGTTTATATTGATGCAGCAGGTCTAATAAAAGCTGCATGTAGATTTGCATATTAAATTTTATGTGACATAATATGACATTGTTCTAAACAAATCGCGGTATCATTCTTTTCATATTTCTTTTTTGTCATTCTACGTGACAGATATAAGTGCAATACGAACCGTTCATGTGGGACGCGACGTTTACTAATTGACTAATAAAGTCGCCACCAAATTGCGTCTCTCTGTTCGGGCAGCGGCGAGTTTCGAAGCGGAATCTATTCCACATCTGGGGTGATCTTGCGAAATTTCTATGCGGGTGTCCGTAAACGTAATATATTCCGCGCTAAAGACTCCGTGCGGGAAGACGCGACTGCTCAGATAGTCGCTCACGATCGACTGTTTTATGGAAATAAATCGTATTATGGTAATCGAGCGTGGCGGTTTACAGTCAAAAGCGAGATTAGGCCGTGGCGTTACAGTCTACCAATTTTCCTGTTTACACGTTTATAACGCCTTATCGCGGTACACGCGGCTCAGAATCGCATTACCCGCCCGATGTAGTGGAGGGATAACCGCATAAAAATTTCTTTCTTCCTGTGGCGGGGTCGACGCTAGAGACAACAGATCGTGGCGAATAACGAGTCAAGCTGACAGATTCACACGATGACGATAGGATGACCTGTCCAATAATTGAACACCACCCATTGCAAATGAATAGTTTGCAGTATTTGTCATAATATTAAGAGATATTTATTATAATATTATAATATTAAGGATGTCAAAGTGGATGATGAACTGCAAAAATATTGGTTAACGTACAGACGATCATCATTATAACAATCGCACTATCCTTTTCGTATTTCTTGTATATGTAGAGCTTACATAAGTGCGTGCTGCTTTGTTTTATCATATTTGACGGGAAATCTGACTATGCATATATAGAAATCTTTTTGCAAACTCTTCGTATATTTTCAAGTTTCTGAATGCAGTTGTGAAGGTACAGCAACGTTCTTTGAAATTTTCCTGAGCGGAGAGGGAACGCACGTTCGATATGTACAAACTTTAGTGCCAGGCAAATATTTACGCCAACTGACAGCTCGAGATTTGAAATTTTTTATCATTTTCGTCACATACTGAGCAATGCCCCAATTCATTTTTGCACGTACGTTCATTGTGCAGAAGCATTTGTAATTCCGCGCAACCAATACGACATGAACTTTGCCGGGAAGAGTCACTATTCTGTTAGTAAAGTTTTCAACTATGGCGTCCCCTTAAGGTACGTGGCGTACTTTATGATTCAAGTGAGTAACCAAAGGCAACTCACGGATGATGTGATTATGTCAAAAAAGTGTGTCACAGGAGGTTAACCTGGCTTCGTCTGTTCAAATATTGGAGTTTCCTACTGAACTGTTCACATCTACTGGCCAGGTCATTCCATCAACGGCACTCGCGAATCCGCTTCATTGATCGCGTATCACCATCGACGTTCCACCGACTCGTGGAAGTAAATCGCGCGTCGCAGACAACACTTTCGCGGCCAGCTGCCGCGACCATCGATAGCCGGGCGAGCATACGAGGATCCCGCGGTGAGACAAGGTGGCGGGTTAGGCAAATCGATCTGTCGAGACGCACGTAACGCGCGGGCTAAGTAGCGCGTTAAAACCCCGCGAGCGTTCCAGCTATGCTTTCAGCATATTTGCATAGGATTCTGCTCGGTGGCGCGTACGCGCGCGCGGCAGCTACCCCTGGTACGCGAGCACTTGCCGAACGTTTACGTAGCTGCGCAAAGTGACAACGCTACCGTCACGCATACCCGAGATAGCCGGGATACTTAACAATCTGGTATTCCGATTACGACAGCGCGTCCATGCACGCGGCCCGGCCGCGTCTTCGAATGCGCCCTCGTGCAAGACGACGATCCTCACTGCGGAACGCGCGGTGTGTACATCAGCGAACATGCGATCAATGGACTCAGCGATCCCAAAAGTGACGGCTAGCAGAGCTCTCCCCTGCGCTCTGTTCCCACATGACAAGCGTGTGCCGCGTGAGTGCTAATCGCCGATGTCCCGCGATCACTGGGAAAACCGTCGCCAGCGCAATTTTTGCGCGTGGGACTACACTGAGGAAAAAATTTACTAAATTTCTAGACGTTTTAGAGAAAACGTCTGTTTGGACAGTACTGTAAAGATATTTGTTTAAATTCAGTCATTATTTTGTAAAAGTAAATAAAGAAGTTTTAAGTAGAAATTTGTTTCTTTAATTTTAGAAAATAATCACTTAAACGAATATCTTCACAGTAATGTCCAAACAAATGTTTGAAATTTAGTACATTTATTTTAATACATTTTTTTTAGTGTAAACACGGAAAAAAATGATTGATTCGGTAGGCCTATGATTCTCGTCGGGCAAAATTAAACGTTACAAGTAAGTAGATTTGCTAATGCAGTAAAGATATTAAAGAGATGCTGGAGTCGATGACGAACTCGAACAATGTCGATAATGCAGAGGTGATCGTCACTAATATAATCACGCTATCTTTTTTGTATTTCTTGTATATATAGAACTTACATGAATATGTGTTATTTTCCAAAATTAAATAAAGAAGTTTTAAATAGAAATTTTTTTCTTTAATTTTAGAAAATAATCACTTAATTTAAACGAATATCTTCACAGTACTGTCCAAACAAATGTTTGAAATTTAGTACATTTATTTCTCAGTGTAAATACGGAAAAAAATGACTGATTCGGCAGGCCTATGATTCTCGTCGGGCAAAATTGAACGTTACAAGTAAGCAGATTTGCTAATGCAGCAAAGATATTAAAGAGATGCTGGAGTCGATGACGAACTCGAACAATGTCGATAATGCAGAGGCGATCGTCACTAATATAATCACGCTATCTTTTTTGTATTTCTTGTATATATAGAACTTACATGAATATGTGTTATTTTCCAAAATTAAATAAAGAAGTTTTAAATAGAAATTTTTTTCTTTAATTTTAGAAAATAATCACTTAATTTAAACGAATATCTTCACAGTACTGTCCAAACAAATGTTTGAAATTTAGTACATTTATTTCTCAGTGTAAATACGGAAAAAAATGACTGATTCGGCAGGCCTATGATTCTCGTCGGGCAAAATTGAACGTTACAAGTAAGCAGAT